TGAAATAGCGTCTCCGCGTGGTTTCTCGGTTTTCCTGTGCCGCTACTGCAGTTCCGACCGTTGAGGTCGTAGTTTAAGGGCGCTAAAGCTAGGATTGTATTTCGCGAAACAAACTCTGCTAAACCAATAGATGAAAATCTATTGAAAGATATCGTGCTACTTGAGGCTTGCCTTCAATTCCACAGCATAGGCAAAAAGTATACCGCGGATCCATTCGAGGAGCACACAATGATATCTGCCATGATTTTTGATTGAACCGATGAATAATGTTGTGAATTCATCGGTGTATATCATCCTTGACGTCTTTAATGGTAAGAATGCCCCTTATTATTACTGGGTTTGACTTCTGTTAAATAAGAACTCGTGTGAAATACCATTTACATGGTGATTTTATGTCAGGTATTGTTTTTTCTTATTGCAGCAGCTACTGTCCGATTCATGACGGAACAGTGTTAAAGCCAAATATCTTGTGACATCATTTGCTTGTTCATACGATGACTTTTCAACCTAAGTTTCAACGCATAGCCCAACGTAGTGATGTTAGGTTACAAGCCATAATTTCCTACCTGCGATTCCGGCCCCCATCTTTTCCCTACTGATAAAATTTAAGTTTTTCCTCACTTTTCACGGGTTTCAGATGAGAATGTACTTGTATAAGCAGATTTTGTGGTTAGTGTCGAGACAAGAGTTTCATTTCAGCATGGCAAGGATGAAGAGAACAGAAGAAGAAAAAGTACGGTTTGTGGCATACCTCAAAAATTGAAGGCGAAATGTTAACGTGCGTTTCTTCCATATATCTCCATACACCTCTCGTCGATGCTCTCTATTCCTCTCTCTCTCAGTCAGTTAAATCAACTGAACTCTAACACTTTATAAATACTGGATTCGTTTTTCTCGCTCCAAATTCCACACACATATATAGAGGTTGGTCAATAGCCGAAGTATCCTTTTAGTCCCAATTTTTAATCGTCATTTTGAAAGGAAATCGGGAATTTTAAAACATGAAAACAGATTTTTTTTTCTCATGGTATATCCCCGGATACAAAATTCAATGCAAAATCGGTAAATGTTCAAAATGCTCATTTCTCGCCACTCTGAAAGAAATTGGCTTTGTGAAAAAACTTCTGCCAGATAAATATGTTTTTTTCGTTAATCCATCGGCAAATAGACTATGCCAATTTCACGCCTCTGAAGAAAACTTAGATGGCAGCCTGCTACTTGCGCAAAAAATGTTGGTTGCTTTTTTAAAAAAAAAAAAAAAAAAAAAAAAAAAAAAAAAAAAAAGGCGCCCTCTCCTTCAGGTAGGAGTATCCCTCAAAAATTCAAAAAGTAGTCCTCTGTGACCCAGAAGCATTTCTAGAGTTTCGTCTTAAAAGCTAACTTTATAGACGCGTTTTGCTAGTTGCGGTAAAGTGGCACAGTCCCCGCTTTTTCAAATTTCCCGGCGATAATTCGTATTTCCCGGCTTTTAGTTCCCTCCAATTCAACCGCCAATCAGGGACAAGGCACAATACATGAAAAACAGCAAGTAGTTTGCTCTTCCACCGCGAGAGAGCTGCACCTATAGACCGTATTCGATAACGGTTCGATGTATCGTTTGGTTCAAAACAATAGAACATAACCTCAAACCAAACTGTAAGGATTTTAATTGGAAAAGCTGAAAATGAGAAATTTCCTGACAATTTCACTTTGCATTGGCATTTGGTACTCAAAAGAATAAAAAATCTGTTTCAAAAGATCCGTTCTCTCAGATTTCTGAATTTACTTTTGAGGCTATGTTTATGTTTTGAACCAATCGATATCGATACAATCTCACCCGTTTGATGTATCGAATACGATCTATTACCTTGTTTGTTGTGTTTACACACAGATTACATATTCGAGTCGAGTGTTCAGCAGAGATTCACTCCTGAATTCCGAAGGCAGGACTTACAAAAAATCCTGCCGAATTTCCATCGCAAACTGTCTGGTGCGCAGTCGGGAGCATCGATGTTCCCTTTCTGCAGGCACTCCGCACCCGGAGAAGGATTTTCTGTCAGTCCTCGCCTCAGGCAGAGATTCAGCCCCTGAGCTCTGAAGGAAGGGCTGACAGAAACTCCTGCGGACCAAGACGGAATCTTTTAAAGTGAAACGTCCCTTTATGTAAAAGAAAAATCTGCACAATTGCTCTTCTTTTATTTATGGGGTACGGAATTCGAAGTAAAACGACCGTAGGCGTATAAGGAATACAAAAAATACTAATAGGAAATTTCAAAATTACTCTTTGGGGCCGTCCATAAATTACGAAGGGCAATTTTTCCAATTTT